CAAATTAGAAATTTGTTAGATCTAAACAAGAAAATTTAGGTACTACTATATTATTATTAGAGTTATTATTACTTACGATGGATAATTAAAAGACAATCATGGTATTTTATTAGACCTGAAAATTATGCTTCAATGTTAAGCTCAAAACAATTTATTTTTCTAAATTGAAATTAATAATGTATGTTTAATATTATTATATCCGGTGATAAAAAACATTGTATTGTTATTTTTGATAAATTGCATGATGTCGTCATATACACGGAAACTGCTCCTACCTTGTAATCTATAAGTAAMAGGATTGTAGACCAATTTCATAGTAGATATCTACTACTGTTATTAAACAAATAAAGTAGGAATAATTATACTAAGATATGAGTTATGAATATAATGTTATATTTAATTTGTTTGTAAAACAGTTTGTATCTATGTGAGTCTATTTTTTTGTAGTTTGCTTATAGTGTTCAACATGAAACAATATAAATTACATAAAAATATTTATCTTAACAAGTAGTTGTTGTTTTCACTTGAAGCATATCTGTTAAAGACTTACTACTTACAATATTATTGAAAAATTACTAAAACAACTAATAAATAAATTTGGAATAGCTATCCAATCCTACTCTTAAAATGTACCTAGGTACTTATAAAAATTGTCTATGTCAGTGATATTTCAATAAATATTTTTTTTAAACCACAACTTTAATGATAAATAATTAAATATTTAAAAAAAATTAATAATTTTCGTATATTTTCCAACTTAATTTTTATAAAAACAAAAATGTTTTAGTCAGTGATAGTAAGCATTTACTTCAATAAAACCTTTCATCTTAATTTTTAAAACGGTATTTTATACACATATTTTAATTGTATGAATGTTTTGATTTTATTGTTTTATTGAATGATAACCAATTCGATAATTTGGACTTGAATATTTCTATAAAAACGTCAGTGTATAATTAATTAATCTTCAATAAAGTATTTAATATTATTTTAGGTGTTCATTATTTTAATAGCATTTTACGTTTAAATTAAAGTTATGAAGCAGAAAACATATCGTAATTTTGCTGCAAAACTCCGCCCATGACTAATCAATGCCTATTTAATAAATTTAAAGATTATATTTTCACTTGATAGTAATTTATTTTTCCAAATATGTACTCATACATTATACTAAGATGATAGTTAATTGATTATTTATTATTTTCTGATCGTTATTAATCTAAGAATTTTCAATTAAATTAAAAATCCATTAAAAATACAAATCGGAAAACAATAGTTGTTTTTAAAAATTAAAAATTTCCTAATTTCTGTTCACAAATAATTATCAAATAATATTRMTTTGGCTCCGATTGTCCGAGTACTTAGAAATTCCGTGGGTTTTAGACCRACCTACATAATATATGTTGAGAACAGTTATCATGGATATTTACTAAGAGCCTTGATTGTTCATTCAAAATTCAAGTTATAATAATAAGTAGGTGTCTCTGTAGGTGCCTATTATATTTTATTACCTATATTATTGAGTTCATGACATTTACATTAAAGGCGATTATTTTATTTATAGATGCCCTATATATCTAATAAAAATAAGCAAATTTAAAATTAGTTCGATATAGAATTGRTTATAAATAACATAAAAGATAATACTACCTATTGTTATGACTTTTTTTATAAAATAGATTTTAGAAACCTTATTTAACATARTATATACCCTTGAAAGTACAATGAAATCCATTTACATAGTTACAKTAAAAATAAACGTATACCATGCATTTTAACTAATATTAGAATAAAAGCATTATTTATACATTATATATTATAGTTTAATAATTTTGTAAATGTATAATATAGGACAATGGTAGTGATATGGTTTTAAATAATACAGTACTCTTGTCTTTTATCATTTATATAATTATACGTAAAAATTTGTGATATAATAATTATGATTAAGGTTTACTACGCTAGTAAAATTATTTTCAATATATCTTATATCGTTAACTAAATAACTTAATAGTTTATTAGATTATGATCAAGTTTTACCATTTTATTTGTATTTAGAACACGTTGAATGTAGAATAATAGCTTTTAAAAAACTCATCTTAATCTTCCAAGATTATCGATTTTGACAGTTTTCAAACATAAACGAACGAAAACGTTCATGTTGTTCACTTAGATTGTCGTTCGCACGTACTTCCTATAATATGTTATATTATTACTTCTGCCATCTCCCGKAAACCGTACGGGTCTGTCTGTACAAGAATAAGTATGACATGCTTCTCTGGAACTCAGTTGACCTCGCTGATCCTGAACAACTCAGACCAGCTATAAATTAACAGTCCGTTTTAGCACGCGTTTAAAACGAGTTTTCAATTTTTTCTTCATCTTTTCATACTGTTGCTGCTATCCTGCTATAAACTGTCTCGACACCTAGAACACTGATTTCACTTGCCTTTCCATTTAATATACCCACAGGTAAATATAAACAGTATGCTGGTTTAATACATATATCTATTCTATAACTACTGACTAGTGACTACTAACAGTACTAACTACTATCTGTTTGTAACGCCCATTTGTTTTGTTTTAATTTGTGTTACTACTTATCTGTAAATTTAGCTTATTGCTTATCCATTTTAACTGAAATAACAAGTTCTTCCGCTGTTCGTTTTAGGTAATTTAAAAATAACTACTCAAACTAATATTCAAAATYTTAGCTAATCATGTATACTTTTAATGTTGGCCAGGAATATTCTAGTAAGCTCCAATGAAACATAAATTGTTTTTTTATGCCTTATTATGAGTACATTTTTTGTTGTGATCGTGACCTAAAATTTTTCACCAATTTGCCACACCCCTCAGATAATAATTTAATAGCTGCGAATTGTCATGCACTATTTAAAGGAATGAATAATGATGCTGTTGAAGTCTTACTGAATCGTCGTCGTCTTTTTAGATATCTAAAACCACAGTTATTAGTGTCATCACTCATTTCATTTAAAAATAAATCTTTCAGAGCGAAACGGAATGCCTTTATTATTTCGAATATCTAATTACCCCATTTATGAAGTATAGTGTATTTTGTTATCGTGTTTTAAATTGTTCAAATTGTTGCTTATCGTTTGCTAGTTCATATAGATATTCAACAAATAGGTACAAATTTAATTACATGATGTGGCTTTTAGCTTTTCAACTATTTTATTATCTTATATTATATGTAACTTATGTGAATAATTAATTTCAAACATCCGTTAGTATAAAGTAAAATCATAGTCTTTATCAGTAATTTATTATATTATTAAAATGTATTGTGATACTTACGTATATTACAGCAAGTGAATAACAATAATAACTGCAGAAGTCTAAATATAATAATATTATCGATCATATAGAATAATATTCAAAGGGTTAAAAAATTACCCTTTGGGAATTATTTAGTTTCGTGTCAACTTAGCAGTGTGCGCAAAGAATACATGAAATATTGAAGCGGTTATTGACTTTAAACACGTGCGTGAGCGCCACTCCTTTCCTTTATGATAGTTCTCTTTCATTTGTCCTCTGTGTATATCGAACAAACTATTAGTAAAATGTGAAAACTAAAAACACAATAGGCAGTGAAATTGTATGAGTATGTAGGCATAACTCAGATTCAAGAGCATAACTTTACTATACATCTTGAGTTTATATTATACATACATACATTTTGTATTTATTAGTGATTTAATAATAATAATAGCATTCACTTCTTAAAATGTACGAGTTGTTGCATTTTTCAAATTGGTATATTATAGCTTTAATTCAACTTCAAAATATTAGTATATTTTGTTTATTTTACTTAGGAAATTATTTTATTTTGTCTCCAAGTTTTGCAACAGGTTTAAGCATAAATCAATATTAAAATGCAGCTATAGCCTACAGGATTAGAAAAAATTCAAATTGTAGTATCTTTRCTATTGTATGACGTTTATTCACGTAACTTTAATTGTACCTTCATCGGGTTATATGTGTTATGTACAATAATACAGTGTTGTTGTATTTGCATGGCTTTTATTCTTTTATTAATGTTAAACACGCATCTCCGCATATAAAATGTATGTGTAGTATTTAACTGGTCATTCTGTCATTTATTAATAGGTCAATGTTAGTTTAATAGTGACAGTTTAATATCACGATTTTTAACTTATACTAAGTTATTTTTCAAAATTCAAGAGACATTTGTTTATTAACCGTGACTTCGAATGTTATTGACGGCTTGTACATGTTTTAATTTTAATTTTAAGCTTACGAGCATCAACTTTTAAAGTGTTATACCAGTTGATTTTATACTATATCTTTTATTTTTAAGTGTGCTGGCTATTGATGATGGCTTAAAGGATTAAAATATTCAAATTGTAAACATTATTGTAGAAAACTGCTGAATATATCAAACACAACACACGGCAGTCTAGAAATTAAATATTATTATAATTTATTAGTTTATCACTGACACATGCTTTATTCTATTTATAAAAGGATTTCAAACAACCAAGTATTTATAGGGTGGCGGGTAATTCTCAGTAATCTGCTGAATATTTTATAGGGAAACTAAAGTTAAACAATTAAATATTATTTACATATTTTAAATTTTCTCTTCATTCATCCCTAAAACTAAAAACAATAGCTAAGGAATCCAAATGTTTCTATAAAAGATTCTTCAACCACCTAAAGCGTTCATTCGAATCCACTTATTAAAAAATTGCCATACCGGCCACCGGGTAATCCTCCAAGACGCCTAAAGTGCAAGTGGTGTCGTGATTTGTTATAAAAAAATATATATATATTAAGTGAATATTAAGTAATCATAGAAAGTGTCATAAATGGGTGGCTCCTTTTATCAAATTATTTTCCTGTGAATGTGCTCTTAGCATATATTCTTATTGTATTAATGATGCAGATTGTATATTACTTTAAAAAAAATATATATATATAAAAAAAGACATATTGTACAGTCAAGATCTACCATTATAGATTAAATAATTACAACATTATTGTATTATAGTATTGTGTTGTATTATTATTTAAAACGATTTTGTGTGAACCAATACCATTCTAAAAAATATTTTAAAGTATAATAGGTAATCAAATTTTTCTATAAATATTTATCTGTTAATTAGTCACTAGTCTTACATTTTTTCCACTTATGCTTGAACTCTATTATTGTATTTAATAAACTTATTTTCTATTAATAATCTATTATATTGAACAAATAAGAAAGATGTATTTCTTGTTTATCACGATAATTTGGAACATCTTTTATAATGTACTTCTATATACATGATACATATTGTAWAACCAGGGTCCAGGAGTATATTGATTTGCACATTTTAGTTTTTTTGACCTGCGAACTGTGATTCTTCATGTATTGGGTTATTTATATTATTATTAAATATATATTGTTTGTATACTTAGCAGCATTTTTATTTAATTATCAATCAAACAGTTACCGTATGGCGTATACGGAGAATGGTAGAGTAGATACTAGACAGTGTTATTATTTAGAATAATAATTAAATTTTATTTGATACCATTTGTGTTGTAATTCATATAATACTATATTATGTAAATTGTTCTATTTTTATGAATTCAGTTATAAACTGTCATCTATAGACAATAAACCACAGTAAACCATTACCGTATTCTTTAGTTTTTATTTTTGTAGAATAATATTAAATTCGTTAAATTACCTCACAGTGTCCTATATTGTTGTGGAAAACCGTTATTAAATCTATTGTATTATTATTATAATTATTGTTCTACCTTTATCCATGTTTGATAATCAAAAGTGCTATTATAAAACTGGTGTGCGTGCATACTAACACTTTATGAATGACTTTATATTTTTATATTATGTTGAACATTTTAATATATTTAGCTTATATTACATTTTCATTAATTTCATTTTTTCCCGAGCCCGATAACCTTCATTTTATGTAAATATTATGTAAAAGTACAAAATTAACTGAAACTAAACATGCTAGGGATCAATTTATGAAATGAGGGTGGTTACGCTCAGCTATTTGAGTATTTCTAGATTCGTGACTCTTGTTTGATAGTCCATGATTTAATAATTTTGTAGATTTTTATTACCAATACTAAAAATACAATTATCATCATATCAATTGGATACGTATAAAATTTTCTTTTCAAACATTAAATACTCGTATAGTATTTTATATAACCTTTTTGGTGGAAAGTTCATATTGGAAGTAGTGTTTATATTGGTAGATTTTACATTTGTAATTTGTATATATAACAATATAACATTATATTATTATAGTTATTGAGATTTTAGTTTATCTACAGAGGGAAATGCGAAGCTTGTTTATTKTTTTGAATTTGAAGGTAAGGTAACCTTTGTAATTGACTTAGTAGTGTCCACTAAAAGTCTAAAAATAGCACGTTTGACAGGTTTATGACCGCTTTCTAAGGCGTGAAAATTTCCATAGCAAACAATATTTTGGCGGCTAAAAATAATAAAATTTTGTATAGTCGGAGTGTCGGAGCTCATAAATTTTTATTTTGTGCAGTTTAGGTTAGGTTATGAGTAGGACTGGTGGTCAATTACCATGAAACATATCTGAAAATTAGAATTTTTTAGGAAACTCAAAAAAACTGATAGTCTTTTTAATCTTGTGTCGTTTTCGAAATTTTTGTAAAAATAGGATGTTTATTTCAACACAATAGAAAACGGATATGGTCCCTTTTCGCTCATAAAATATCGGTCTATATGTGTAAATGAAAAAAATGCGAAAAAATCTATTTTGGTAAAAATTCGGGATGGGCCCTTTTCGAAATTCCCAATTCAATTATTATTTAAATAATTTTATTGATTTTTAAATGTATTAATATTATTTTTACATTTTAACATATTTTTATGATTAAATCTATAAATAATTAATAGTAGTGTTTTCGTTTTCATGTTACTATTTTTTTTTCATACTTCCATTTTATTATTAAACAATTAAAAATAAACTCAATGGTTTTGAAACTATTATTTACACTAATTCTTAAAATTGTTATTTCAATTTTATACCACCCATATTATATTTCATCTATATTTTATAAATGCATTTGTTATGTCTTTTGTATATAATAAAAAAGTATGCACATTTACTATAAAAGAAAATTTATCAAGTCTGTCGATTGTTTTGCAGAATTTTAAAGTTTGGGCCTTTGGTTAATAGTTACTGTTAGTTGAGTTTTTTTATTCAACTTGGTATTAATTCTATTATGTATTTGAAAGAGCCTTCACAAATCATTGCATCCTGAAAACAACTATGTCTAAGGCTTGGTTCACTAGTCCTATCGCCAATAAAAAAGTTTTATGGTGCGTTCACTACTCTGCCGTGTCGTGCGTGTTTAAAATTTAAATACGCTGATATTTGACGTTGGCTACACATTTCCTATTAATTTAAACTACTGGATGCTGGCAAGTTGAAAATGACACACCTTGAGTTTAGATTTTCTTGGAATTCYAGAGTTTTAGATAGTATTACTACGAAATAGAATAACATAAATAGATATTATAACTTATAAGTGGATAGTATTTGCAAAAGTTATTAAAAAACGATACAAATATTATTTTTACTCATATATACCTAGGCATTTTTAATTTTGTCTCTGTAATGACTATAATGATATAATCTAGTTGATAAACTGAATTAATTAATTTTTTAAATTCTGTATTGCGTTGACTGATTATAATACGTCAATTAATTAGTCAGAAATTTATGCTATATGGAATTTCATTAAGTCATGATTCCTCACTATTTTTCTAATACCTAGCAAGTAGCTAYTAATAGCTTAATAGTAATATTACTGTTCAATATATTATATATATATATATATTGTATTAATTGAATTATTACAAAGTGAATAATTTTCCTAACTGTTTATAGGTATAATACAATGACGGCAATGGAGAACGAATCATCAGATGGCAATGTTTCACCTAAAAAGAAATCAATTCGTAAAGGGAAGACTGCCTTAGCTCGTGTTCTTTTATTAGATGGTTCATATTTAGATGTTCAAATTGATGTAAATATTTATATAATTAATTCATTTACTTTATATTTTAATTAAAATATATATTATTAATATATTTATCTATCTTATTGATAAAAAAATACTTTATTTACTTATAGAKGTTTATAATTATTTTCTTATATGTTTGTATATTGTAGAGGAAAGCTAAAGGYCAGGAGTTATTAGATCAAATATGTGATCGGCTAAATTTATTAGAACGGGATTATTTTGGTTTATCTTATGAAGATAGACGGGATCCTCATAATTGGCTTGAAATGGATAAACGCATTGGGAAGTTTTTAAAAAGTTAGCAATATTTTTAATTTTTATTTAGTCATAATGTCTGTATTTTAATTCTTATTGTTTACTTTTAGGTGAACCATGGTTGTTTAATTTTGAAATGAAGTTTTACCCTCCTGATCCTAATCAACTTCAAGAAGACATCACCCGTTATCAACTATGTTTACAAATAAGAAATGATATTCTCAATGGAAAGTATGTACCTATAATTATTATTAATAATAACTGTTACAAATATTTAAAACCTAATTGTTTACTAGGTTGCCTTGTTCTTTTGTCACCCATGCACTGTTGGGTTCATATTTGGTTCAGTCTGAATTGGGAGATTATGACATTGATGAACATAAAAATAACACAAATTATTTGAAAGAGTTTAAGTTTGCTCCGAATCAATCACCTGAGCTTGAAGAAAAGGTTATGGAACTTCATAGGACACACAAGTAAGATTGTACCATGTGAATTTATTGTAAAACAAATTATATTATCATTATTCATTACGTTTTATAAATTAGGGGTCAAACACCAGCAGAAGCAGAGTTAAATTATTTGAACAATGCCAAAAAATTGGCCATGTATGGTGTGGATTTACACCCTGCTAAAGATTCCGAAGGTGTAGATATAATGTTGGGAGTATGTTCCTCTGGTTTGCTCGTTCATAGGGATCGTTTACGCATCAATCGTTTTGCTTGGCCTAAAATATTGAAAATTTCTTATAAGCGAAATCATTACTACATTAAAATCCGCCCAGGTGAATTTGAACAGCAAGAGGCTACAGTTGGATTTAAGTTGCCAAACCATAGACTTGCTAAAAAACTATGGAAAACATGTGTTGAACATCATACATTCTTTAGGTTTGTACTTTTATAAAATTAATTTTTAAAAATATTAAAAATAATTTGGTTTATAWTAAACATGTATTAGGCTGATGACCCCTGAACCAACACAAAAACTTGGATTATTTCCTCGTTTAGGTTCAAGATTCCGTTATTCTGGTCGTACTCATTATGAATCTAAGAAAACGCCAATTGAGAGACCTGCACCAAAATTTCAAAGAAGTTTAAGTGGAAGAACATTAACTTCTAGAAGMATGGATAGTAAGTAATTGTGTTTATGTTGTCACCTTTAAATTATATTTTAATTAAATAAATATTCTAACTTATAGCTTTAGGAGGAACCAGGCACTTGGGAGAAGATTTTGGAATGGAACCTGAGTCTAAAAGACACACAATGTCTCATCCTCCTGATCGAGTTTCTGACAAAGAAAACAACATTGGAAAAGGTGGAAAGTCAAACAAAAGTGATAAACAAAAGGTATTATTTCATCTCAAAAATAGTTATAAATATAAGATACTACCTACATAAGTTTCAATAGTTAAATTCTTCATTTTAAAAATTATAAGTTCTTATCATTATTTTGTAACTAACTTTTGTTATTGAACACTAATAATAGCTGAAAGAAAAAGTGAGCATAAGTTCTCACGACAGCTCTGTAACTGAGGAAGGCAATTACGACGCTGAACGGAGCAACTCAGACAATCATAAGTCTAAGGTATATAGTTTGATGACTTTTCGGAAATAATTGCACTCATAATAATGTATTATTTAATGTTTTGTTGACCTTGAAAATATTTATTATATCATAGACCATTTTCAATCTTGTTGATTAAAATTTATTTTATTTTTGATAGAATTTGTTTATCCCAAGGTCAACTTAGCAATAATTTCGCACATATTAGAAAATTAAATAATTGTATATTGTATGTTTGCAACAATTTTTGTCATTTTATGGACATTTCATTGAGGTTTATTGTTCTTTGTCTATTATCTAAAATGTACAATTACTTGCCTTATCTTAAAGTGTAGACAATTAAATGAAAAACTGATTTTAGTATATTTTAATAACTTGCTAAAATATTTAATTACTAATTAACAACACATAGTATTTCTATAGTTGTTTTAAAATATTATAATTAGGGTTTGGGCTTTTTTTTTGTATCTTATTCAAAGTAGTCCTACATTTTTCTATACAAAAGATATAAAAATTTGTTTTGAGAAAATTGAAATTGGAGGTGAGTGGCCTGACGGATTAAAGTGTCGGTTGTCACCGTCGCTGGTTTGAATTCCAGTCATGGGCGGCATCGCTTTCTGGGCAGTTCATGGTGTCTGGAAARAGAGGCTGACGCCCTCCACCSGGGTATGGCAGAAACTTTTGGGTGCCAATTCGAAATTCTGCGAAAAACATCCACGAGTACCAAAACCAATAGTTCTCTCTCCGGCAATTCCACAGGCTAATGGCCCTTGTTTCAAAGCTCCAACCCCCAATTAAAAAAAAAAATTGAAATTGTGTTCGATATTTCATGTATTTGCTTATTTTAGGTAAAGTGCATATTATTGTGAAATTTATAAGCATATATTAGTGTATTCACTTTAATATTAATAATTATAGAGTAAAATGTAAAATAGATTTTCTGGACATAAAATTTGCCATAAATGTGTTAGTATGATAGGGACTACACAAGTGGGTATARCATCATAAGTTTCTTTATTAATTAATAACTGACATTGCTATTAAAAATTGTTCAACTAGAAAATTAGTGATATCTATATTCTATTCATGTTAAGAAAGAACCTTAGTGACAGATTTGTGCACATGGGTGTGGGTTACTACATRTGAGGTGTACTAATAGTTGACTCGGTAGTGGTGACAAATGGGTTAACACCCATCAGACCGTCTGACTAGTGCTGACAAAAATTAATTGTTGCTGAGGTTCTTTCTTAACATTAATGAGTATGGATTTATGTTTGTGTAGAAGTACTTTTCTATTTGTCAAAACAATTTTATTTTTATTTCAATTAAGAATACCTAAAATATCAAATAATCAATACATATCTGAATTTATTAGGTTAGGTTAATCAATTACCAATTTAAAAATGATCAAATAATTTTTGATGTTCTTATGACTTTTCAAACAAAACATTTTAGTTAAATATTTTAAGCTTTTTTACTGCAATAAGCTTCAAAGCTCTACTAATAATATAACTGCTAACTGCATAATTATTATTGTTCTTCCCTTTTTCATATTTTTTTTTATTTCTTACATTTCATTGTTGGGTTTTTATATGTGCTACTAGATGACCCCGTGCACTTGTGGTTGCCCTTAAAAAATGACAACCCTTAAAAAAATTGTGATTGTTTAAATCTTTTTGGATGTAACTCGCAGCAGTAAGTGCAAATCCCGACTATGTCGAATCGCGGACAATGTGCGATGGTTCATCAAGTAGTATATCAATATAGTATATCTATACATTAGTACAACTCAGAGTACTTTAAAATACTAATTTCTACAAATTATTTATCATATAATTAATAGTCACCATTTTCAACCAATCGCAATCAATAATTATTATTATAATATCTTAAAAACCCATGGCAACCATTCATAGACAAAACTTTCTGTCGTGAATCTCAAAATTTGGTCAATAACAAATGGCGCGAGCTTGTACATTTCTATTATTTTGTTATTCAAACCACTGCGAACGTTTGATATTTGACCTCTCGCTCGCGGACTTGAGACGTTCACAAATTTTATTCAGCAAACCGCTGTGAAAACTCAATACTTGACTCTCTTGCACGCGATTGCGACGCCTATTCTCTCTGACTTGTAAGACGATTTTCAGTTTCTGATGGAGGCTTTCAATCACAGCGTATTTTTGTTCCCCTAGCCTGTGAACTATTTCTAGAAAGTTGAGATCTTGATCTTTTGGTCATTCTAAAATGATAAAAAAAAAACTAAATTCTACATCAACTAATACTAAATTATTTGCTTACATGTTAAACAGGAATTAGCCTGTATATTAGATGGTGGTGATGGTGGGAACGCGAGCGTCAAGAGAAACACGACGACAATGGACAGTTGCTAGTTACTGAATTACAATGATAGAAAAATTAAAATAT